TACAATTTTTTGGAATTTTCTCCGTAACCATTAGGCGCATTAGAACGCTTCAATATACTAAATTATTTGTTTTTTGAAGCTCTACAAAATGATTTGGAAATAAATTGCTAAATTTTATGATTTTGGGTCAAAAATGGGAAAAACCTATTTTTACCCCATAAAACCCCCCGTAAACACCCATTCCCATGGTCCGATCATGCTGGATCGCGAACTCGTTCGAATAAACGTAGGTTTACACGTTTGTAGCAAATTTAATCAAAATCGGATCATTTTTGCTCGAGTTATCGTGCTGACGGACATATATATATATATATATATATAATAAAATCAAAACATATATAACAAAGTACCCTTTTAGTAATTATTTTATTTTTCATGACGACATGTTTCGGAACTAAGTCCCATTGTCAAGTCATTTTTACCATAACCTCATTCTTTAAACTAACAAAATTAAAAATATAATCATATGTAAAAATAATAAAATATGTTAACTAAATCTTAATACATTTTGGTATTATTTTTTTTCATTATACTATATGAATGTTTTTCTTTCTTTCCTTAGTTTTTCAATTTTATCGTAGATAGGTTGGTTTAATTTTGGAATCATTGTGTTGAGTATGTTGTTGGGGTCCTTTTTGTTGTGTATATAAATATTTAGCTCTTCTTTTACATTAAGTTTCTCACGTTCTTTTTCAAATTCTAAAATTGTTATATTTATATGAATTTGAACGGATGGTGTTTTTGGCCTCTAGGGACCTCAAAACGAAAAAAAAATCGGTCCCGCGTCCAGGTCTTACCATGAGTACTACGGTAATAGCTTATTCCCTATATGGGAAATTCGCTAAAATCATGAGAATTATCTAAACGTGTTTTTGCTCTTTGGTGTCTAAAATGTAATCGGCTCGTGCAGTCTGCACCCAACTGAATAATTTGTACTCCACCCTATATTATAGGTTTTTTGCCAATCACACTATTATCTATAAATCCGCCAGTGTGGAATTTTAATTGGGGTTGACCCCTATTTTGCCCTAGGATGCTACACAGGATCGTTTTTCACATTACTTTAGGCTAGATTAGAGGTTGCTGCATTATCACATGGAATAAATACATTGGTGATTTGGCAGGATTTTAACCCAAGAACTCAAGGACCGAAGTCCCACGATCTATCAACTTGACCGGCTCACCCCTCAATTAGCTTGCTCCCTGGGTTCGACCTCTTAGATCATATAAATAATACCCCCGCTGCAGCAAACCTGCCGACTTAGCGAATTTCCCTATAGGGGGAAGTAGCTATTACCGTAGGTGGCATGGTAAGACCTAGACCCGGGACCGATTTACTTTTTCATTTTGATGTCCCCAGAGGCCAAAAAACACCATTCGTTCAAATTTTTATATATGTATATATATATATATATATAGACTTATATATATATACGTCCGTGAACGCGATAACTTGAGTAATTTTTGTCCGATTTTGATGAAATTTGGTTTAAAGGTGTAAAGCGGGATAAACTTGAATGAGTTCGCGAACCAGCACGATCGGACCATGGGAACGGGGCTTTACGGGGGGTTTTATGGGGTAAAAATTGGTTTTTCTCACTTTTGACCCTCAAAACACAAAATTTCCCGATTTCTCTTTAGACCTTTTCAAAGAGCATAAAAAAACAAATAATTTAGTATACAGTAGAGTCCCGCAAACTCGGCTCTCGATAACCCGGCAGTCTGGATAACTCGGCCATCACCTGGCTTAGAAAATTAGTGATTTTTTGAGTCCGTGTTAAAAATGGACTCAAGCCAGCTCAAGCAAATCATTTGCAACTCATACCAAGGAATTGTTGTACTATATCTGATGACTTAAATACTGACTTGTATTATAAATATAAATAAAAAAGGCGGTTAAAAAGCTTAAAAAATTGTATTTTTCTTATTTTAAACCCTTGTTTCTGATAACCCGGCATTTCACAAACTCGGCATCCTTCCAGTCCACATTACGCCGAGTTTGCGGGACTCTACTGTATAACAGTATTTTTGTTCGATTATTAGTAACGGAGAAAATTAAAAAAATTGTAAATTTAAAATTCCCATGTTATTCTTATGGAGAATGTTGTCAAATGTTGTAGTTTGCTTGTTTATGGATATATTTTGATCAAACTTGGCAAATTTATTTATTTTGTACTAAGCTATCAATATTTTACTCAAAAACACACTTTATTAGTTTCCTTGTAGCAGCAAACCTAGGTACCTAGGTATATTTGTTGACTAGTTTTAAGAACCTGAAATCCCACACTCTTAGGGGTGATGTACACAAGTTTAATACTAGGAATAGAGGTAAAATTGACATCCCTTATGTTAGACTTGAAAAATGAAATCTTATTATGAAATACTGGGACTCAAATGCCTAAATAAACTCCCCAAGGAAATACTGTTTTTGAACAACAAAGCCTTCAAAAATAAATTCTTCTGTGGCTGACTGTACACCCTTTTTATGGGCTGGGAGAATTTTTTGAATGTTCAACCAAAGAAATCATAATCTAGTCACTGCCTTGTTCTAAGTATTTTTTTTTCACTAAATTATATCTTGTTATCTATTTTTTCTGTAAGTATACCGTAGTCTTCACTGTGCCATCTAAATGACCTTTGTATCTATTTGATTTTTTTGTTTATGCCTTATTTGTTATGTACTGTAATTTATCTTTGACTTGTGTTTTTGCAGCATGTATTCAACTTTATTGACGTATCCTAATGCATGTACTTGTCTAATGGAATAAAATATTGATTCTTGATTCTACTCGTTAAACCTAATGTTATTAAAATATATAACTGAAAATCAATTCAGACAAATGGAAATTCGCTTAGTCGGCAGGTTTGCTGCGGCGGGGGTATTTAATTACTAATCTATTAAATTAACATTTATGTTTGTTTAACGAGTACCTAGGTTAGCTACTACAGGGAAACTAATAAAGTGTGTTTTTTATGAAAATATAAATAGCTTAGTATGAAATAAATAAATCTGCCAAGTTTGATCAAAATATATCCATAAACAAGCCAACTACAACATATTATAATATTCTCCATAAGAATAACAGAGGAATTTTAAATTAAGTCTTTTGAATTTTCACCATAACCAATCACCGTACAAAAAGACTTTGATATACAAAATTATTTGTTTTTTTAAGCTCTTTAAAAAGGTCTGGAGAAAAATTTATAAATTTTGTGTTTTAAGGGGAAAAAATTAGAAAAACCCATTTTTACCCCATAAAACCCCCCGTTAAACCCTGTTCCCATGGTCCAATCATGCTGGTTCGCGAACTCATTCAAGTTTATCCTGCCTTACACCTTCAAACCAAATTTTATAAAAATCGGACAAAAATTACTCAAGTTATCGTGCGGATGGACACATATATACAGGGTTAGTAAAAAGTGTGGAGACCCCCTGTTATTTTTTTAACGGCCCATACTAGAAAAACTAAACTCGGCACACCTTTATGGCATGTTATGAAGTACTTTTTGGGCATAACCGCCACTTGGTGTATATCCCCAAAATGGGGGATTTTGGTGGAAGTCAAAAAGTTTCAAATACAAAGACTTTTTGGCATACTATGAAGTACTTTTTAAGCCTAAAAACTTAACTAACTTAACTTAACTTAACTTTTAAGCCTAAACTTCACTTGGTTCCCAAACCCAAAATGGGGGATTTTTGGGGAAACTCAAAAATTTAAAAAATGTTGAGCCCCATCGAGTGACCCCTCATTTTGAAGGTCATAATAAAATAAAACTAACAACGCAAACTAGAGGTCTCTATCTTAACACAGTAAAATATGGCAGCCAATTGAATATAAAATTGCAAGTTATTTCTGATTTCTAAAGATTTCAATCAGCTTCCATTTTTTACTGGATTGAGATAGAAACCTCTAGTATGCATAGTTAGTTTTATTTTACCAGGACCTTCAAAATGAGGGGTCACTCGATGGGGCTTATCATTTAAAATTTTTGAGTTTCCCCCCAAATCCCCCATTTTGGGTTTGGTAAGCAAGTGGCTATTAGGCTTAAAAAGTACTTCATAACATGCCAAAAAGGTGTGTAGGGTTTAGTTTTCCTAGTATGAGCCGTTACAAAATTTACAGGGGGTCTCCAGACTTGGAAATCTGTAAGTTAAATGATGATCTGTGGCTTGAGATAGAGACCTCTAATAGGGGTCACTCAATGGGTCTTTGTATTTGAAATTTTTGAGTTTCCACCAAAATCCCCCATTTTGGGGATGTACACCAAGTGGCGGTTATGCCCAAAAAGTACTTCATAACATGCCATAAAGGTGTGCCGAGTTTAGTTTTTCTAGTATGGGCCGTTAAAAAAATAACAGGGGTTCTCCACACTTTTTACTAACCCTGTATATATCTCTATATATCTCTATATATATACATATATAAAAATTTGAATGAATGGGGTTTTTGGCCTCTGGGGACATCAAAATGTAAAAGTAAATCGGTCCCGGGCCTAGGTCTTACCATGAGACCTGCGGTAATAGCTCCTTCTCTATAGGGAAATTCGCTAAAAACAATTATCAGAAAACGCAATTCATAATTGGCAATGGCAGGGGCTTCGATTTCCCCCCACATCGCTGTTGGCTGCTACAACGGGTCTAATCCTCACATGTAGGTGAGAAGGGGAAAGAATACTAGAGGATGAAGTAAGGGACACAGCAATGGGGTGGATTTGAACTTATTATAGACTGCAAGTCGTTGGAGGCCTTAATCTGTGGACAAATCTCTTAATTTATTAGGGATCCTATTATTAAGTTCCTATTATTAGTTCCTATCACAATGCAAACTGGTTTGATCAACCAGTCGACAACCATTTTGTTATCTGTGCAGACATGTTAGACGGTATTATCAATTCATGTTTGAGAAGAAAGGAGGCTGTGTGGATGTTAAACCTAATGGTTCCTAGATGTTTTTCATTCCGACGAAACTGTTCTCCTAACTCCTGACTGTCCTGTGCAGGCCAGGATGGTGAGGTGAGGTGAGATGCTGCCGAGGTTCAACGCGAGGCGATGTTTCCTGAGTCTAGTGTTCGTCTCGGCTCTCCTTCTAGCCATCGTGAACCTCCTCTCCCACCAGGATGATCCGGCCAAGCCCAAGAGAGCCAGGATGTTCGAGTCCATCATCCTTGGACCTTTCGAACCTTGGACTAGGGTAGGTTATTGTGTTGACACAATTCTGAAATGCAGGATAAAAAGATATTCCTGTGAAAGTACAATTAGAAGGATGGTGTGGGTGGTTTGAAGAGGTAGCATAAGTCCGCCCTCCTGGATTCACACCCCTTCTTACACTACACAAACATTCAGGGGAAGCATCCAGATTGCCTTATTGAAAATTAAACTCTACTTGGTAATGGGACAGGAATGGTTGAGGAGCTTATGGGGACTTGAAACAGTACAGAAAACAATGCTCAAATGATGATTTAATTTTTAGGTTTCAATTGCTTCAAAATTCTTTCACAATTGTTTTGCTGAAACATTTTTACTAAGATAACGAATTTCCTTAACTTTTAAAAGTGATCATGAGAAATTTTTTGTGGTCTGAAACCTCTAATGGGTATCAAGAACCAAACATTGTTTGGGAACACAGGCATTGCTCCTTTTTTTTAAATAAAGTTCATTCACTGGAAAAAAGGGAATAGTATGTAACGAGGATAACAGTTGGTATCTCTAACCCTCTATCAGTGTAACTCAGAGCTTTGTGTAACAAAATCCTCCGAGGAACGATGCACCAATAATTTATCCATGATTATCAGACTAGGAGTCAAATTCCAGAGGATTATGCCTCGAAGAGACAAGGGAAAGTGAGGTACTGGAGAAACTACTCACTGGATGGTTAAAATAAAATGGTTTAGCTTAATTATTCAATTTTAGCCAAGTCTCTTTACCTGTAGCTTATATCCTATACTCTAATATGAGCAATGTTTGCTTGTATGTAAGTATGTATGTATGTATGTACAAAGTTCTCGAATACGGCTTCGACGATTTTCTTCAAATGTTGTAAATAGTTTATTGCTGGCCTAAAAACGAGTTTACTGCAGTTAGAACTACCAACAAAAATCTAATTACGTAGAAAAATAAAACTGAAAGTCACAATTTTTAAACATTAGTCTTATGGGTTGCTAAGTAACAATTTTGGTTGAATTAAATAACAGGGAAAAGGAAAAAGTAAACAAAAGACTTTGTAAGTTGTAACATGTGTTCAAGCCATCTACCCTCAGAATACTAGCAAATTACAAAATATAGTACAAAGGAAAAACACCAGTTGTTACTATTGAGCAAATAATGGCAAAGATTATACTAAAGATTACTTGATACATTGTAGTAAAGGCTATAGCAGTGCGGAGTGTGGGATTCTTTTTATGACGATTAGATTAAGGTACAGTATCTGCAATCTTAAAATGCTATGGGAAGGGAAGGAAAGAGGTCCGCGACGTAGGAAGTAATGAAGGAAGTAGTAAAGGTGAGCTGTCTGGAGTGTAGGAATTGTTTATGACGATTTGATTAAGTTATTTGCAGTAATAAAATGCTATGGGAAGGGAAGGCAACAGGTCCGTGACGTAGGAAGTGATGACGGAAGTAGTAAAGGCGAGCAGTCCGGAGTGTGGGAACTGTTTATGACATTATGACAATTAAATTAAGGTATCTGCAATCCTAAAATGCTATGAGAAGGGAGGAAAGAGGCCAACGGTAGGGAGTGTTGAAGGAAGTAGTAAAGGCTGGCATCACAGATTGGGGGGACCGTTTGTGGCAGATGGATTAATGTATCTGGAATACTTAATGCTAAATGCTTAATGCTAAATGCTATGAGAAGGGAAGGAAACAGGTCCATGACGTAGGAAATGGTGAAGGAAGTAGTAAGGCTAGCAGTGTGGGAACTTTCTGTGGCAGTTAGATTAATGTATCTTTAATTCTAAAATGCTATGAGAAGGGAAGGAAACACGTCCATGACGTAGGAAATGGTGAAGGAGGTAGTAAGGCTAGCAGTGCAGAGTGTGGGAACTGTCTGTGGCAATTACATTAATGTATCTGCAATCCTAAATTGTTATAGGAAGGGAGGAAAACAGGTCCACGACGAAGGGAGTGGTGAAGGAAGTAGTAAAGGCTGGCATCTCAGATTGGGGGAACCCTTTGTGGCAGATAGATTAATGTATCTGTAATACTTAAATGCTATGAGAAGGGAAGGAAACAGGTCCATGACGTAGGAAATGGTGAAGGAAGTAGTAAGGCTAGCAGTGCAGAGTGTGGAAACTGTCTGTGGCAGTTAGATTAATGTATCTTTCATTCTAAAATGCTATGAGAAGGGAAGGGGAGAGGCCCACGACGAAGGAAGTGGTGAAGGAAGTAGTAAAGGCTGGCATCTAAGAGTGGGGGAACCGTTTGTGGCAGTTAGATTAATGTATCTGTAATACTTAAATGCTATGTGAAGGGAGGAAAACAGGTCCACGACGTAGGGAGTGGTGAAGGAAGTAGTATAGGCAAACAGTGTTGAGTTTGGGAATGGATTAATGATCTGTAATACTAAGACTGCTTTCAGAGTAAACTAATGATTTCCCCTGAGCAAAGCTCGGTCCCCATGTACTATAAATTACAAAGAAAACTGTGAGCTATATTCTACAAAACTTTAACGAGGTCCTACAGTAGACTCTTGATAATTCGAAATTGGTGGGCCAAGCATATAAATTTGAATTATCAAGAGTTTTGAATTATCAAGAGTTCGATTTATCGGGAGAAAAATAAACCATTTGAATTACAGAGAGTTAATTTGTTTAATACATACAAAGGTACAGCACATTACAATAAAACATCATACCATATTTTAGTACACTTTTAAACAATCAACGGCTTATTTTTCAGTTACTGTAGTTGCAAAGAAATCTGTTATTTAGCGCTATATATTTCGCCAATAGCTGAACTATCAGCTGTCGACAACGACGTTTGTGCTCAAGGAGATGTCGCGCAATCTAGAGATCGGATTGCCAACTTAAAAAAACAAGTCAGCGAACTAACTCAGACTACTGCTCTAACTAAACAAACATCAAAACGTCCAACACTAGCCTACCATGGGAACAGGATGTACTGTACTGTATAGTTTCTTGTTATAACAGGAAGAGATCACTTCGAATTATAGAGTGTTTTGCTGACTAAACTTCGAATTACTGCGTGACTTTGATTTATAGAGTGTTTTTTCGACGAAACTTCGAATTATAGAGTGTTAACCGACTAAACTTCGAATTACTGAGTTACTTCGAATTATAGAGTGTTTTTCCGACGAAACTTTGAATTACTGCGTGTTACAAATTGACCTGCCCTCTATTTGGACTTTGAAATACCGAGTGTCTCAAAATGCATGGTAAAAATTTGAAATATTGAGAGATTCTCTAAGGACTGAGCCTTCATTTTGAATTATCGAAAGTTTTGAATTATCAAGTGTTTGAATTACCAAGAGTGGACTGTACCTTTATTTAACTTTAACATAATTCTATACTAAACAACACAAAAATATCCCCAATGTAAATAAAGCACCATGAAAACTTCATTTTCATTTTCAAATCATCGATGTTTTTCTATCAATGATTTTTACATCGATGGTAAATTACGTATGTTTTTGGCCAAATATTGAAATATTGATGTTTTCCATGACTGAATTGTTAGGTTAATTAGCTGTTGAAGCACAGAGAGCAGACGGAAAACTGAAAAAATGTATCCTTTGCAACGATGTTATCGGTACATTGATGGTGAACATTGATGGTTCAAATATCGATGCTCATCCCTACTCTGTTTAGTTCAGTAGTCAACATTTATTTCACATTTTATTCCCTGGTAAATTTTTAAACGGCTTCATATTCAAACAATCTTCGATACACGTTACTAGGGTGATATAAAGTACTTTTTGGTAGTGTTTTGAAATTTACCCACAACCCCCAAATAGGAGTTGCTAGGGGTAGCTTTCAATTTTTAAATAGCAACTACTTAGTAGAGAGTAGTTTAAAAGAATATGGGTGAAAACCAGAGGTCTCTACCTCAACCCAGTACAAAATGGTGTCAGTTTTTAGTTTTCAGGCATTATTTAATATTTTTGAGCTGCCCCAATATGCTTCATTTTGGGTTCCAACTCTAAATGAAAATTTCAAATTGTTATACCAACTAAAAAGTACACTGTTTTTTTCTTATAAAGGGGTAGGCCTAAGCTTTCCTGGTACAATCTGATCAAATGTTAATATTAGATATGATAATGTATTTTTATGTAGGGTCTCTGAGGTTGATGAAAACTAAAAAATAGACCCCATTCTGTAATGGGTTAAGAGACCTCTGGTTTTCGCCGATATTCTTTTAAAGTAATGGCAAATGGCCTTTAAAATGATGTCCTACTTGATAGGGGTTGCTATTTAAAAATTGTAAGTTAACCCCAGCAACCCCTATTTGGGGGTGGTGGGTGAGTTTCAAAATACTTCCAAAAAGTACTTTACATTACCCTAACCTGTTCAAAGCTCGTTTGAATATATGCGGCCGTTTAAAAATTAACCAGGGGGGACTATATTATGGGACACCCGGTATATCCCATTCTTGTCACCATGTTGGGTTTTCAAGTAAGAAAGCACATTTTGCTGTGACCTAAACTTTATTTATTAAAATATAAATTACATTTTGTGGTGGAAATAAAGCATTGACAACTGAACAGAGACACAAATCAAGGATAACAAAAATAAAGGCGATACCGTAAGTAAACAATATTGTCCACTTAACTATGCAACAGGTTTCAGCAACGTAAATGTCTTAAACTTTTATTTGTCACAGACGACTACAGAGGCAGAGGAAGATGTGACGACGGTCACAACTCCGAGTGCATCGGTGCCTCTGCCGTGGTACATGAAGCAGGGACGTAGGATGCCACAACCTCCGTCCCGAGCACCATCAGGGCGAAGAGTGGCCCAGCTGTGGCCTGCGGAGGACCGAGGGAATGACCGGATAGAAAGTCAACTAATGTTTGTACCTCCGGACCCGGTACCTCCAGGGAAACTGAAGAAGGTAACCTAATGGATAAAATAGAGATAGTGACGTGATAGATTATTTAGGAATCAACCTGACTTGAACTATGCATCAACCTAATTACTGTAATAAGTAAAATGGTTACCCAACATAGAAGGTAATCTGATGGATAAAATAGAGGTTGCTGGTTTGATCCAGTCGGGGTTGCCATTTGTCATTTGGATAATTATTATTATATATATTTAAAAAAATAAAGACATTAGATAGTAACAAGACCAAAGATCGCCCCATCTCCTTAGAAAACCCCTAAAAACCGCCAATTGAGTAAGAACACACAAACAAATTCTTTTACAGCCTTAAGTATTTCTTAGGAGGTAACAAGACTAGAGTGCTAATCATTTCAAACATTCCCTTTAAATGAAAAAAAAAACTGCTATAATATTAAATCAAATTAAATGTGAATAAAGTAAAATGTTGTGTAAGTTGTTAAAGATCTAATTCTTCTCATATAGGCTTTCATTGCCGGTGTGTTCATGGTGGTGTTTTTTTGGCGTCAACCGTGTCATCACTCTCTGTTACCAGACGTTTCGTCCTTATTGTGGATCTAGCCACTGGGGAAGTCTCTCCACAGGGAAGATGAAACGTCGTTTTTTGGCACACAGGCTTCAGTGTTTTTGGTTGACCACCAAAAACACCACCATGAACTCTAATAACGATCTAATTTCTTATTTTAAGGTCTTGATGTTCAACGGATTATCATCCTGGGGTTTGAAGCCAGGACAGGAAGCTTTTGCAGAATGTCCGGTCAGTTCCTGCACCTTGTCAACTAACAGGGTGGATGCTGAGGATGCTGATGCCATCTTGTTCAAAGACCACCTTGTGCACCCTGGCATCCAAAGACCACCAAAACAAGTGAGCATTTGGCTTTAAGCTTGCGACTTGCGTAGATTAGAAGGGAAATATTTTCTAATGACTCTTTGAGCTTGTGAAACGATGCACAACCCCAATATATTATCACAGTCAACGAGGTTACAGCGATCTAACTTTTGCTGATCTTACCTTACATTCCGAAAGCACATGTACCAGTATAGAGTACTCATAGGTATTCTCTTGTGGATTTAGATTTTTTAAAGGGTTTTTTAGAGTTCAAGTATCAGTGAAGAAATTAGAGCCCTAAAGGACTAATAGATACACTAAAAGGCCAAAAACCACAATTCTCCTATTTTATTCTAATATAGGACTTCCTTATTGTACCTAGATTTGTCATTCTTACGGGTCAGCTTAAGACTATTTTGAAGTATAATTCCAGTGTTTCCACGTTCTCTAATATAGAGTATGTCTTCGATGTTCATAAATTGTTTCTGTAATTTACCCCCTAATATATTTTGTTTCACCAAATAAAACATTTCTGAAGCTCGTCCTCAAACATTATATCCTAACTTTAATTCACATTTGAAATTTACCAAATCGGACACTAAAGACATTTATTAAACTATTAACATTTATTATTAAGACTCCACAGTAAAATGAGATGTCTGCTTGTAGCTTCCAAATGCAGCGGTTTAATCTAAAAACCAGAATAGATTGGATTTATACACGGTATTGCTTATTTTGGGAAGGGTGATTGTTGAACAGCTGGTCCTTTAACCGCAAGACCATTAATATAATTAAGGCTAATGATCTGAAAGGACAGCTGGCCCAAGATTTTTGAACCATCAAAAAGTGTATTGGTTTGCTTTACGATTGTACTGACAACTTTCTCATTAACAGGCGATCACCATGGTTTTATCAAACATCAAAAATGGTTGTAGACGTTACAAAATGATTTATACACGATCAGTGTAAATAATATAATCAATGTTTCTACATCTAGCTCACATTTACTGTTTTTGTGTATCACTTATTCTTGTGTAATTTTAAGGTATGGATCCTGTACTTCCTAGAGTGTCCCTATCACACCGCTCATGTAAAGTACAACGACCTAGTGAACTGGACGGCCACGTACAGACGGGACAGTGACATTGTCGCCCCATATGAGAAGTGGGTCTACTGGGACCCGCGAGTCACCCAGTACCCAGGACCTCTGCGGGACTTTGCAGCTAACAAGACGGACAAGGTCGCCTGGTTTGTGTCTAACTGTGGTGCTAGAAATGGACGGCTGCAATATGCACAGCAGTTACAAAAATATATACAGGTTGGTCATGGTTATGCTTTTGTAGCATAGATCATGTTTAATTTTTTTTTTTATTTTAAAACTTGTTTTATATGAATGCTACAGCTGAAATCAAATAATTTTCATACCCTTGTTATTGTACATGAACAACCCTATTATTGTTGATCAAGTTACTGATTTCATAACATTGTTGATTTATTTTCAAATCTGACCTGAGATTGTCAATAAGGTCTGTAAAACTTTTGTTTGTAACATTGCGGTCATATTTTTCAAAGTCTGAACTTGTTTTATTTTGTTTTCCTATGCCAATCATGTTTATTACCTGTAATTTGTATTTTAATGTCTTATGCCCCTCGAATTCGAAATAATGTTCATTGGACAGTAGAACCCCTTCTAGCCCGAGCTCGGCTAGTCTGACTCCCTCTCTAAATACCATTGCGCCAACGCCTATCAATGACAATGTTGTTGCGGTAATATCGTGACTATTTACCATGGTCGTGTAGAGATCTTCACCATCTCCCATAATTGCCGCAAAAATCCTCCAGGATCATGAAAACATTTAGACCCTATCGCATCCTCCGTAATCGAGCCAAAATATTGAACTTCTCCCACGGTCATGGGAACATTATCATCGTCTTCCACATCGATAAAATGTCATTTAAGTAATTAATTTGGTTATTTAATATGCTCCTCGGATAATCCCACTTTTTCACTATTTCATAGATAGAAGGGTTGTAGTGTATTGAAAATGACTTTTTAAATATTGTTTGTGATGATCAGAATACGTAGGCCTACTGTGTTTTCTCCTTTATTTTCTTGAATAACTCAAATAATTTCAGAGAAACTAAGATGTTTATGTTTTTCAGGTTGACATTTACGGAGCCTGTGGAAAGCACAAATGTCCCCGTTCTTTGGCTGAGAAGTGTTTTGAGCTCTTAGATAAAAAGTATAAATTTTACTTGGCATTTGAAAATTCAAATTGCAAAGATTACATTACAGAAAAGTTCTTTGTCAATGGCCTGGGGTAAGTAAATAGATAAGAACTTAATAAGTTAAAGAAACAAAATATTGAACTTTGATTGGTTATTGGCGAATTTATTATTTTATTTAGTATGAGTGTAATGCACCTAACGTGTAAATGGTTTATTTTTTAACAAAACTACTATTCATCAAGTACAGTAGTAACAATTTTTAGTTCATTATTAAATTTTACCACTCTAAAAACATTATATTAAAACCTAATTGTTAAAATCTTTGTTAAAGTTCCAATTAAGAGAAACTTTAGATTGAGTTACATTCCATTTCAGTCCATTTGACTGTTTCTGTTGTACTAATGTGCTCAAAAACTTTTTTTTTAACTAACTCTAATTTGAAAAACATCTTGAGCTTTTATCAAATGTGCAAATTAAATACGCTTAAAAATAATGAGAGTTAAAAATACATACAATGTCTATAAGTAGTATATTTGAGCTAGTGACAAAAACTACAAAGTAATGAAGGGAAATGAAACTTTTGTTTAACGATTCACAAAATTAATTGAACTCAAAAATGTGTACAGACGCAACATTTTGCCGATTGTGATGGGAGCGAGGCCAGAAGACTACGCCAAAGTAGCTCCTAAGAACAGTTACATTCACGTTGATGACTTTGCATCACCAAAACATCTCGCCGAGTTCCTGCACAAGCTAGACAAAGATGATGATCTTTACAACTCCTACTTCCAGTGGAAAGGAACCGGAGAGTTTATCAATACGCATTTCTTCTGTCGCTTGTGCGCGTTGCTACATGACGACTTTCCCATTAAGAGTTACCGGGACATTAACGAGTGGTGGCGTGGGGCTGGTACATGCACAACGGGTTCCTGGCGTAGCTTAGATGACTGACGGCACCGCGCTCGGCGACCTTACACCGAGCAATAGTCACCAAAAACTGTCAATGCAAGAGATCCAAGTTTATAATGTTTGAATTATCAAAATGTTGGATCTACAAACCTATTCAAAGAATTGTTTTATAATTTGTATTAATGTATCCATGCCATATTTCATTTATTTAGGAAGCTAGGACTAGGCGGGTTTAGTGGTTAAACCGTGGCAATCCTGCCATGGAGGACCATTTTTTTTATAATGACCAAGGGCATTCCTTATGTTATAATGGCATGAAACACTTACTTCTTCAGAGTCTAACATAAGTTATAGGTTCATTGATAAAATAAAAAAATAGCTTCTTAGAAGAAAACAACTATCTCTGTTTTGGAGATTTCCTTTTCAAGAATTCCATGATTGTACAAATTTTAATTTTGAAAATGTATTTTAAAAGCACACTAGAAAAAAAACTCACTGTTTTGAAATAGGAATGTCCCCGTTCATAACTATAACTTCAGTATATTAGCCATGGAATGAATGATTTACTGTTTTCACTGATACTCTTCCAAAGGTTTGTCAGTTCATGTGTATGCTTTAATCGTAAACATTTGACACACATCGCATTGACAGTTTTGCTCCGCTTATGCGTTAGTGATACCAAAAACTTTGATCTCATGAACTTTGTTCTGCATAAGTTCCTGTCGAAAAAGACAACCGGACTTCCAAACTTGATTCAGGGTAGTCACAAGTTGTATAAACTTTTCAAACTGTAGTAGCTAAGACTTGTTTTTGTATAAATAGTAATCACAATTGACACTGGATAAATAACTACAGTACCTCTATTATAGTCACTAAACCTTAACCTAAACCTAAATTTGACACCATCAATTTGATTTTTGGGGGTTTTTATATGTAACTCGGTGAATTTTAATTCTTGATGTTATAAATTAATCTGCAATATTTTGAAAATTTCAATAAACCACTACCTGTACCAATGAAATTGGTCATACAAATATAAAAAGTCTGTATTTTTTAACTGGATTTCTAAACTTTTATTCCCATCACCACTAAACCTCCATTGTGCTGGTCATCAAAGGACTCGACCAATAAATGGCACTGAGCTATATGGCCAATAGGAGAAGGTACTGTAAAGGAGGAATCATCAATGGTTGATATGTTGGTTTCTAAATCCTGGGATTTTTTAAATGTTGGTAAAAACTGGACCCAGCGGTTCCTGATCATTGGGCTTTAAACAAATGATCCTGACTAATGAAACCGCTGATCTTAACAAAGCTACACAGGTCATCACACACCATTCTACAGTCATACTTCACTCATATTTGGGTTAAAATATGCACCTAGGTGGCGTCCCCATCTCAATGATTGATAATTGATAAACAAAGTTGCATCAAATGGATAAAAACTCAGTTATCCAGGGTCGAAAATTTAAATTCCGATGTTTGGAAAATAAATAGATTGCACATTCCAAACACTATAGAGTCATTTTAGAAATTTAATTTTTTAGACACTTTAGCTGTATACTTTTTCAAATAGTTCATTGAGTAGAAAAAGTTTGTATGTTAAGTGTAATTTTATTTGAGTTACGCCTTTATTGAGGTTCAATTGATTTTGTTATTTCATCATCATAGCATGTTTTCTTTAACCAAGAATTCAGTCTTTTATTTTTTTTTTACATTTAAGTCAAGTATAAAATATGATTCTAATAACTTTACTCATGAAATTTTTTTATCCTATCATGGTAGTCTTAAAACTGTCTGACTTTGCCAATACAATTTTCTCTTTTAGAGTAAGCTTGCAACAATTAGCTAAAACCTTGTTTAACTATTGTTCCTTCTCCAAAATTAATTTTAAAATTACTCTTTGAACTTGATTGATTGAAATTGCACAAAAATAATACTGTAATAGCACAAGTTTCTTTTATCTTCCACTAGAGTATCTTGGTATTAAAAAGATATTTTTTCATTATTAAATATGTTGTGCAATATCGTGCTTTAATAGTTGTTATAAGATCAAAGTTATAGTTTTAGTTAGTTTATTTTTCAATATTAACACTATAGTATTAAACTTTGCAAATATTTTGCTTTACAATTAATCACTTATAGATCGGTACTATCCTGTGTATTTGTCAGACTCCACTAAGTAACCCATATTTTATTAGTTTGATCTATTATGCACATTACATAATCGTAAAAAAATAATCTTTTATGGTTAGAAAATACAAAATAGCAGTAATTGACCAACTTAGCTGATTTCTTTGGGATTAGCTGGTTGTAAATTCTACTCTACCACACTATAATATTATCAGCTTTTTTTCACAATGGTCACAAATCATGTATCATTTTGCTAGCCACAGCTGATAATAATTTATTTTGTTCTTTTTGATTAGCTTTGTGTAGCATGTGTAATCTTTGGTTTGATTAATAATAGCATATTTCATCACTGGGGTGTTAAGTGGCCCTTTTCGTCCCGGGTTTACGGAAGCTAAGGTCGGAAAATGAGCGAAGGTTGACACAATCTTTTGCCCCTGTGATGAACTATATTTTTGTCATATTGCAACATTATTCAACAAGCTATGTGAGGATACGAAAATACTTTTCATGTAAACGTAACCTCTCAAAACAACTTCAAACTTGTTTTCAATTTTTCAGCAAATAGGCAGCTGTTTAGTAGGTCTAAGTGGTTAAATCGTTTAGTCTATTATGATTGTGGGACTGTGTTAGTGTAACGATATGACCAACTATAATTGTCGAGAATGCAGCAGTAAGCTACAACCAATGTACTCAATTTAAACATAATTTTGATACACACAATTGCTTACAATCAACTGACTTTTACAACGGCTGGAATTTACTTCCAATGGACTAAATAGTATTTTTACTCCCTAAGAGATACGGTACAAACTTTAGCCCCGCAACGCATGAATTAAAAACGGTTGTTTTTACTGCTGTATGAAAAAAAAATCACTGTTAACACATTAAACTATGATCAATTGGTTTTGCTTGAATGTTTTTTAATTGTATTTAAAATTTTGTCTTTGTAGTAAAGTGCTTTTGAAAAATAATGTCCATGCATAATATGAAAGCATTGCAAGCTCCTAACTTGTTTGTATTCTCCTCTAGGTTTTCAAACTTTAAACCCAGAAACTATGAGTTTGTAAAGCATCTCTTTTGGTCCTAGGTTTGGTATATAATATTTTACTAAGGTTGTGATCCTAAATGCAATAATAGTTTGCACACTAGCATGACTATTCACTCGATCTTTAACTAATTTAATTAACTCCAGAAAACCTATCAAACATTTGCGTTCAATGGTATTCCCCTCACAATAAAGTATCATACACATAGAGGTATTTCTCAAGTTTTTACCATTACTGTATACATTTAAATTCTAAAAAACACCAAATCGACTTTTAATATCACTTTTTTTTAATTTCTCATAACAAGGTAATTTATCTTACATTGTTGTAGGCCTACTTGTTATACATACAGTATTTATATACAGTATTTAAATACTAATTCAATAAAGTAAGCATTTCACAAAATAGTTTAGTATCTTGTTATATTATCTACCATTTTTATTCCATGATGGCATTTAAAATATGGTTACCAAAAAGAATTAGGTTCAACCTTTGTTCAACCTACAATGGCTTTATAATAATGTATTATTAGTTCTAACAGCACACTTTTAAGCACAAAAAATAATTCTGTGGTTGTTAAAAACATGATTAAATGTAATTTATGTTATAAAATTGTACTTAGCTTATAATTTCAAAGTTACCTTAAGTAGTGTAGAAATAAGTATGTATAAGTATTGAACTATTTTAAGACTATTTAATGAAACATTTAAAAATCAATTTGATAGTTTTAATAGCTTAATTTTGAAATGAAATACTGTATTTTAGTATTAGTACAAAGACACAATTTCCGTTCAAATTTGATCGCCCAAATAAAAATTCAAAAGCTTGAGTCATAGTCATAGGGTAGATGAAGGATATTTTTAAGTATGTAAATAAATTATACATAGATGTACATATGCAATATAGGTTTAACTATTAATTATTTTTAAACTACTAAATAATTTTCTGTGATACGTTAAATGTGTAGGCTGTCGTATGGATGGTTGTTTATTTCATAATTGTTGTAAAAATGAAGCACTATTAAAGACTGTTTTTTATAATTATTTGCTGTCATTGCGACCTTTCATTTCACCTGTTAACTCGTCCCCTAGTTGTTTAACCAAACATTAAAGCACAAATTTATTCAATACTAAATAAGTACGCTTTTATTTTATTTTATTTCCCATGATTTTCTTGCCTGATTTCTTTTCACCATCCTTTTTATTATTTCAATAACTAAATTCCAATGTCATCGATTTATTTGTTTTCTGTTGGAGAGATCACAAATATTCTCCTCAGTTTCATCTTCGACTGTCTTGGCAAACATTTTTGTAAAATCTGCATCCTTCAGGATTTTTTTTCCAGGACGTCCTTTGAAATGTGACATGAACAGTGAGAGTGTGTTTTTTATTTAAATAATAATAACTTATAAATAAATAATTAAATCTGCCAAGTTTGATCAAAATCTTACTAATGTTATAAATGTGAAAGTTTGTGTGTTTGTTTGTTTGTGTGTTTGAAGTTCAATCACGCATAAACCACTGGACGGATTGGGCTGAAATTTGGCATGATGATAGCTTACATTCCCGATTAACATATAGGCATATTCTTATCTCAAAAATCCTTTCGGGCTCCGCCCCAGTGGCTCTGTGATTCCCCATGAGTATTCTTTTTTAAAGGGAATTAAAGAATTAAGTCAGCTGTTTCAACTAAAAAAGTTGGTTCTATGATATGGAAAAGCATTAAAAAGTTATAAGATTTACCAACAGGGTGCAGCACTATATTTTTTTGCATTTATGAAAACAGCTAATTTGAACGAAGCAGCAACAAAAAACTGTGATTCACAATGAGAACTGTCAAAGTAGGATTGTTTACAGTTATGTTTATGTTTTTCATTTCATGAATAATTTGTGATATTTTGCGAATTGTTGATAATTTATTTTTCTCTATTGTTTGGGTGAAGTGGTAGAACATTATGGCTATGGTAGATGTGTAATACTTTGGTATAGAATACTGTAAATTTAAAAAAGCAAATTTTATCAAACTGTGTCCTCCCTTATTGCAAACGCAAACCTTGAGTATAACTGCAATAAGCATTTTATACTTATATTCCAACCCTGTACTCTGCTAGTATATCTATAAACAAGCCAACTACAACATTTTACAATATTCTCCATAAGAATAACATAGGAATTTTAAATGAACAATTTTTTTACAATTTTAACCAATAACGGTACAAAACACTTTGATATACTAAACTATGTTTTTTAAGCTCTTTAAAAAGGTCTGGATAAAATTGATAAATTTTGTATTTTAAGGGTAAAAAATAAGGAAAACCCATTTTCACCCCATAAAACCCCCGTTATAAGCCCCGTTCCCATGGCCTGATAATGCAGGTTCATATATAAAAATTTGAACGAATAGTGTTTTTGGCCTCTGGGGACATCAAAAAGAAATAGTAAATCAGTCCCAGGACGGTAAATAGCTACTTCCCTATAGGGAAATTCGCTAAAAAAAATGTACAGCCAATGGAAACATCCACGACAGGTACACAAATGTAGGTTGTCGCAGCTGTACAGTGTATTAGTGTGTAACACCTGTGTATTGAGTCAGTATGATCTGTTAACCCATATACGTGGAACGACAGACCGTGATGTAAGTCAAATACTAATAATCTGGATAGGTAGCATATTTTTTAGCGAATTTCCCATATAGGGAATAAGCTATTACCGTAGTACTCATGGTAAGACCTGGACGCGGGACCGATTTTTTTTTTCGTTTTGAGGTCCCTAGAGGCCAAAAACAGAATCCGTTCAAATTCATATATATATATATATTTATATATTTATATATTTATATATTTATATATTTATATATTTATATATTTATATATTTATATATATATATATATATATGTGTCCGTTAGCACGATAACTCGAGCAAAAATGATCCGATTTTGATAAAATTTGGTACAAACGTGTAAACCTACATTTATTTGAACGAGTTCGCGATCCAGCATGATCGGACCATGGGAACGGGGGTTTATGGGGGGTTTTATGGGGTAAAAATAGGTTTTTCCCATTTTTGACCCAAAAAACATAAAATTTAGCAATTTCTTTCCAAACCATTTTGTAGAGCTCAAAAAAACAAATAATTTAGTATATTGAAGCGTTATTATGCGCCTAATGGTTACGGAGAAAATTCCAAAAAACTGTAAATTTAAAATTCCCATGTTATTCTTATGGAGAATAAGTAAACTGTTGTAGTTTGCTTGTTTATGAACATATTTTGATCAAATTTGGTAAATGTTTTTATTTCTTACTAACTATTAACAATTTACAAAAAAAAAAAAAAAAACAGTTTTACCCTCCCTGATGCAGCAAACCTAAGTACTTGTTATACTAATTCTATTTAAATAGGAAATAAATGTTATATTTTTAAGTAGACATTTTAGTGTAAATCCAATCAGGCAAATGGAAATTCGCTTAGTCTGCAGGTTTGCTGCGGCGGGGGTATTATTTATATCTGTGTCCAAGTGATGCTAGTAAATCATTCAATATCTTATCAAAGATTAAAGGGATTTGCTTAACAATTTCTTTGAAATCTATAATCTGTAGCATAATCTGTTTCTGCTCTCTTGTCAGAATTTATGCCATCTTCACTACACTCAAACTTTGGTACAATGTTGTACTCTGTTTGTTGTACCTTACTATTCAGCCAGGCTATTTATGTCAATACGCATGACTGTTAATTCTGCTGGCTCATTAACAAAGGTTGCCTTGGAGTATAAGAAACCTTCTATTGACAATCATAATTTAGTTTAAACCTACACGAATGCATTAGTTAGTATACCATATGTGTTTTTCTGTATTGTGCTACCAATAATGTAAATTAATCTAAAAGTAATATATATTTTCTTCTTTGCATCATCATAACAGATTATTCATCTTTTCTAAATTTTTTTTTTTATGTATACATCAATTAAATATACATCAGTCTATATTCCCTATCCCCAGAACCTAAGCTGTAGGTAGATACATTTGATTGTGACGTCTTTTAACTTAGCAGTGGACAATTCAAACACCGTTTAAGGTAGGTAAGTGGTCTAAAATATTCATTTAAAATAAAACACTTTCATAACATTAATTATTGATTTAGCTTGGAAGAATAAACGTATAGCTTATTTTATCAAATTCGTTACAAGGTAGTCAGATGCTGGCAAAATCATAGATCTACCAGTATATTTGTAAAAAAAAACACTCAATATCTAAACAATTTTAATGTTCCTGCTATAGATTTACTAGGATTCAGAAAAACTCTTATACAATAATTGTTGTCGCAACAGCAGAAAAAAGGGTACTGTACTTTCAAAAATTGTAAGCCAGAATTTTGCTTTACTCTGCCTATGCTTTTCTTTGTTTAATTTGTGTTAGAGTATTGAAAATAGGCAACAAAGGTTAAATTACTTGAGAAACCCGCAGGTAATGCTGTGAGCTGTCAAATTGTTTATTCCACTTTGATCGTTACACTTGTGAAACAGATGCAGGGATTAAATACACACACAATAGCAATGCTCTTATTTTGCGATCCACACAAAACATCCATACTCGTGCAGTTGGAATGAAAAAATACACCGTATCCTTATTATATGATAATGTTTTGAAATATAAACAGCATAAATTTAATAATAAATAGTAGATAGTATTAAGACGAGTATTAATAGGGAGTTTAAGAACCAAAGTGAATGAGGTTCTAAAAAAGATAGTTTAAAAATGACCAATGGGGTTCTTTAATCTTCATGACAGGGTGGGAAAGTTATGTTAGAAGGTTGAAAAATCACATAAAGAAAATCTATTAGGCTTGTATTGTAGCCATTTGGTTTTTTAGCTCAAGATAGTTTAGGATGATACAAACAGCTCTCCTCTTTGGTCGAAGGTGATTTCAAAAGTGAACTCTAGAATATCCCTCCAAACACAAACATAAGTGGGATTACAAAGTTTCAAAACCAGCTGTTACTGAAGCATATTTTTTACATAGTAAAGCCAAAATTGTAAAACACATTTCTTTGTATTTTGTAGTCAGAGAGTTGATTGTGCATGTGCATTCACCTTTATCCAAAATATTCAACATGAGCTAAGTCTGATTATTTTATAGAAGGCAGCTGGAACCTACATACCAAATTTCATCAAAATAGGACTACAGGTGTGATCTGTAGCTCTGTACACATCCACACATTCAGACACATACACACAGCACAGAAATCACTTTGAAAACCACTTTTTTGGGTTTAGGGGGCCCAAAACGGAAATATATCCACTCAAAATTCAAATTCCAAAATTTTGAAAACAATACTTTCTTCATATACTATGTATGAGAAAGTAAAAAGAAACCAAAAGCTCTGATTTGTGAACATTCAACCTTACAGATTTTTTTTATGTCAATAAAAAAAAATTGTATAGACATACCTACATTTCTAAAGGAAAGTGTTCCAAACTCTTCAAAGCTCTAGGAGTTCACCCTGTGTCTTTTACAACATGCAGTACAAAACACAAGTCAAGTTTATTAACTTTGAATTCCATCCCTTTTAAAAATATTTTGTTCACTTCTTTATTATGTTAGTTCTACTTGTGTTGTTAACAGTTTTGCTAGAGATGTTTCCGAGATACAGTAGGACATGTTTTGTGATCCTGGTGTCTGTTGTTGTCATCTTCTTCACCGTGGTTATGCTGTTATCCTTTCATGAAGATTTAGGTGAAAGAAAGAAGAGGACTGGAACACAAGACTTCAAACTAGGATCTTGGTCTTGGGTGAGTTCTGTGGTAATGATGATGATGGATATTTTGTAATCTTAAAGGTATATATAATATTGTGGCGATGTTGATGATTATTTTTATATTGATAAAAATATTGACAATATAGTTTTATCGTAATTATTTAAAACTTAGTTTGATTCTATCTCTGATTTTATAAAAACTGCAAAACGTTGTAAAGTATAAAGCAAGTTATTATAGTGATACAATCATTCAGTTCATATCTGGAAAAGCAGTTGTAATAACTGAAGAATTTTAGAGATTCGAAAATTACGTACATTATATCTTTGACTATTGATAAAATTAGAGGTTTCATCCCCATGATAAAGTTGTTACCAGTTATTTAGTCTAGTCAAAGTAGTTGAATCGATCCATCTTCAGATTGCGTTGATGTAAATTACAAATTTCTGTTGAATACGCAGACTTTTTAACCAAGTAACATAGGTGAAGTCGGGTTAGGTCTGATAGGAGTTGTAGCATATTTTATGTCATATAAAATATCTCAGTGACAACAAATAAAGTAGGGTAGAAAATAGAACTTTAGACACTAGTGCAATCTGTGGCTGGCTCATTTAACTATGTTCTTTTTAATGCAAAAATAGCAACAGCTGGTCCATATAGATAGGATGTCTGAGGCAGTATTCAAACGTAAATGATCAGGGGCAGCCGCCCAGAGTGGCAGAGTTTTGGGGGCAGCGCGGTGGCAAACAAATTTTAAGGAAGACCAAATTTTAAAAATTGAATAAAATAATAAATTTATCATATGAATGTGAAGAGTATAATTTTCTGTATCACATTATACCCAAAGACCAAGAATAAAAGTTTCGAACAACCGCAGCCACCGCGCTGTGCAGGACAGTTAACAGTGAAACAGCGTCAAAGCAACACCGCAACGGTTGGAAGTGACCTTGACAGAATCCTCCCTGTCCCCTCCACTGACATTGTGTTTATTATTATGGAAACTCTGTGGCTCCCCTCCGGGATTCCCCTAGAGTCCCTAGATCTTGAAAAATTGGTGAAGAAATTTTCCCGTACCATGGTCAGACGAGTGATACTTAATTAAACAGGTGTGTTATATTAACCTGTATTGTAGAAATTGTAGTATTAATTACTTAGCGAGCTAAAATACTCCCTCGATTTAAAACTACCGTACTAATGATGTTTTCTTATTTTTAATTGTGTCTGTTCCGAACATAAAGATAATTTCATCACTGTTCCCTAAGATTTACATTTGTCAAATCTTGTTTGAACGTCAATTGTAACTTAACAGCTGATTACCTTCAGGTATTTTTTTAAGTCAAATTATAAACAAAAAAACGACAATAGATCTCTGCAACTGTAAACATGAAACACCTTATGAAATGAAAAGAATTTTTAAATGTTCAATTTACTCTTGGGACCCCTAGTACATAATTATTTAAGAGTTTAGGGAGACACTGTGGAGCGGTCGCATCACAGTGGAGACACTGTAGTTCGACGATTGCTCAATTAAGGGGTTTTGCCCGGGAGTAAACAATTAGACGGTATATATGGCGGTGGTCTTCGATCTCGCCCAAGGCGACAAAGTCCCCAGGGCTGTGCCTGTCAATGATGGTATGAAAAAGAGTAGGAGTTCTAGACTAAAAATAACTTTTTTAACAGGTGTTTCAAAAACCCATACAAGATGTAGAAGAAAATACATCAGTCATTTATAACATCTCTAAGGAGTCACTACCGTGGTACTTCAAAGGAGGGCTGAGGATGCCACAGCCTTCTGTCCGGGGATTGTCAGGACATCAAGAGGCTCGGCTGTGGCCTGCAGAAGACCCGGACAGCGACCGGATAGAGAACCAACTCATGTTTGTACCTCCAGACCCGATACCAGCTGGCAAACTGAAGAAGGTAATTGTATTGATACAACTATAGAATTAAAACACCTTTCGTCACAGGCCTGTGTTCTATCCACGAGAACCATTTATTGTAACTATGTACGTGTGTGTTTATGAAGATAGTTACGATAGATTTGTTTCCATTTAAAAATTTGTTTTTATAAAACAATCTGTTGTTGAAATTGAATATTTTTTTTATTTATTTCTAATCATGGTTCTTTTATAAAATTTGACCAAATTGAGTAGCTTAAAACTTAAATACAAGCATTTATGGAAGATTTTATGAACATTAAAGAGTCATATCTCTTAATGTGTTAGGCCTATAATCACCATTTTGGTCTTAAAATTTTGAGTAATTTAATGTAGTTTAAAAGTAATTATGGTTGTTTTAATGAAAAATAATAAAAAAGTTAGGCTTTAGGGTTAACGTTAGCCAAACTTTAAAAAAGTTCAAAATTTGGTAATTTTACCCGTTTTTTGAGAGCCATATCTTGAAAACAAGAAGGCCTGTATTAACCATTTTGGTCTTAAATAATAAATAATTTAATGTACTTTAAAAATGATCATTGTTGTTGTCTATGTAAAAGTGATGCTTCATGGTCAAAATCGTACAAACATAAAAATAGTGCAAAATTCCACCGATTTTTAAGCTTTTAGGAGGTGATCCGGAAGGTTGCCGAGGTCGAAAATTTGTATTTAGCATCTCGGTACTATTACAAACAACATAAAAAAAGAAACCTACTACCCCATTTTATGCAAGGTAAAATACGTCAGAAGACTTTAAGCTGCAATAGACATTCTAAATTATTTGGAATGTTTGAACTTGTGATCAAAAGTTGTGATGCGAACTCATGACAGATTATTTTCAGATTCTGTTGATGTATGGACTATATTCGTGGGATGCAAAGCCTGGCACAAAAGTTTTTGCCAAATGTCCTGTCAAGTCCTGCTCCTTGACAATAAACCGACAGGATGCAAGCAATGCAGACGCAATTCTTTTCAAAGACTACATCACTCATCCTGGCGTCAAAAGGCCATCAAGTCAAGTAAGAGTGATTATCATATTTAAAGGTATCATATTTAAATGTTGAATATGGTTGAATGAGTGTTCTAGAAAGCCATAGTTCAAGAACATTTCTGGGGCGACTTTGAAAACCCCTGAACTTTAATGAGCCCAATTTGTGAGAACCTCCAAAGAAAGAAAAGAGCCAATAGAAACCTAATACTAAAATTCAACACTCTAGGTATGGATCCTCTTTCATTTAGAAAGTCCTCCTCACACTTCTCGTGTTGACGACCAGTACAACAGCCTAGTGAACTGGACGGCCACGTACAGACGGGACAGTGACATTGTTACCCCGTATGACAAGTGGGTCTACTGGGACCCGCAGGTCACCCAGTACCCAGGACCTCTGCGGGACTTTGCAGCCAACAAGACGGGCAAGGTCGCCTGGTTTGTGTCTAACTGTGGGGCTAGAAATGGACGGCTGCAATATGCACATGAACTGCAGAAATACATTCAGGTGGTATACTATTGTAATTAATTGTATAATTATATTTTTTCAATTGCAGTGCTTAATAAATTTTACAGTATTTTTGTGCTTGTTGTTTAAGAATATTACAGGGTGCGGCAAAAAAACCGATCCATTTTCTGCAGAGCATTGTTCAGCTACAGGTCGTCTGAGAGTGGTGGGAGTAGGCTCGTTGGAAAGCCTACACAATGCCATTTTTTGTAGTCATAGAGCAGTGGTCACCTGAGCCACGTGCGGTTGTTATGGAGTTGTTTTAAAAAAGTATTGAATTCATTCATTGCAACTCAGCGGCATCGGCAGTTTCATGCATTCTTTCAATTAAGGCGACATGAAGAAGTTCCGTTGTGTATCACAATAATGCAGTGGGTTACTTACTTTAGAACAACGGCTTCTGTGTTGAAAAGGAAACTGAAAGGCCGTCCAAAGTCGGATCGGACGACGGACGCCAGACAACTAACATTCAATAGAGTTTGTGCTGCTGTGGAAAACAGTCCTCGCAGGCCCGCCCGAAAACAAGCGGCTTCCCGAACATGTCTGACTGCTCAGCTAAACGAATTTTGAGGTCAATTTTCATCCCTACAGATTAATTAGAATAATAAACTGTTTAATTGTGTTATCCACACAGATAATCACGATGAAACTTCTCCATGTTGACCTAATAAATAAAAACATGGACCTGCCACTGGGAGTTGCAATGACTGATTTACTACTTTTTTTAAACGACTAGATAACCGCACGTAGCTCATACAACCACTGCTCTATGATTACAATAAATGGCATCGTATAGGCTATCCAACGAGCCTACTCCCAAAACCCTCAGACGGCCTGTCGATGAACAGTGCGCCGAAGGAAATAGATCGGTATTTTTGCCGCACCCTGTACCACTGTAATTATGACAATAAGCAGACAAGAATCAACAAATTATTATATAGATCCATGAGTGTATAAATGCTATTAAAATTTTTGAAATCCCTTATAAATAAGTCCCTGGGCTCTTATTTGCCAAAGCAATAGCTACTGGCTTCTTTATAACATCAAGATAAACCTCCCACAGTTCCCTGTTTCCTAGACCATAATTAGCCAATAAAGTTTGAACACAATAATACCTATGTAGACAAATTGGTTGAAAATGACAATAAAAGTGGTTGAAAAAAAAAGGGAAAAGGAACAGTAAGGAATGACAAGCAAGTGTGTTTTGTGTTTATATTATGTATCCAATGCTAATAAAATTGGTTGTTTTGCAGGTTGACATTTATGGAGCTTGTGGAAACCTTGTGTGCCCTCGTTCAATTTCAGAAAAGTGTTTTGATCTCTTAGATAAAAAATATAAATTTTACTTGGCATTTGAAAACTCCAACTGTAAAGATTACATTACAGAAAAGTTTTTTGTAAATGGGCTTAAGTAAGTACCGGTACCTAGCTAAAGAAATACAGTATTTAAAAAGAAATTAACTATAAATTTAAAGATTTGAAATTAAAAAACCATAATTTCTAATGTAAAAAATATCTAAACTTAGTATAATTTTGTATAACAGTGAACCTATCTTATAAATATATTCTTATATCATGGACTATTTCCTAAAATATACAGCTTTTAAGGTGTGTTTTTAGCGAATTTCCCCTATAGGGAATAAGCTATTACTGTAGTACTCATGGTAAGACCTGGACCTGGGACCGATTTACTTTTTCATTTTGAGGTCCCTAGAGACCAAAAAAACCATCCGTTCAAATTCAAAAATCATCCGATTTTGATGAAATTTGGTGCAAAAGTGTAAACCTACGTTTATTCAAACGAGTTCGCGAACCAGCATGATCGCACTATGGGAACAGGGGTTTATGGGGGTTTTATGGGGTAAAAATTTGTTTTCCCCATTTTTGATCCTAAAAACTTAAAATTTAGCATTTTCTTTCCAAAACCATTTTGTAGAGCTTAAAAAAACAAATAATTTAGTATATTGAAGCGTAGTTATGCGCCTAATGGTTACAGAGAAAATTCAAAAAATCTGTAAATTTAAAATTCCCATGTTATTCTTATGGAGAATATAAACTGTTGTAGTTTGCTTGTTTATGAACATATTTTGATCAAATTTGGAAAATGCATTTATTTCATACTAAACTATTACATTTTACAAAAAAAAACACCTTTTCACCCTCCCTGTTGCAGCAAACCTAAGTACTCGTTAAACTAATGTTATTTAAATAGGGAATAGGGAATAAATATGATATTTTTAAGGAGATATTTTAGTGTAAATCCAATCAGGCAAATGGAAATTCGCTTATTCTGCAGGTTTGCTGCGGCGGGGGTATTTTATATTTGAAAATCAAATTGTAAAGTGACATGCTTTAAGACAGTGGAATTGTTGAAATTTGCACACTTTGAGGTAATATAAATCACCCAAATTCATCGATCATAATAACAATTTAGTTTTACACTTTCCATTTTCAGACACAAAGTTTTACCAATTGTGATGGGAGCGAGGCCAGAAGACTATGCCAAAGTAGCTCCCAAGAACAGTTACATTCATGTTGACGACTTTGAGTCACCAAAACATCTCGCTAAATTTCTCCACAAGCTAGACCAAGACGATGATCTTTACAACTCCTATTTCCGATGGAAAGATACAGGGGAGTATATTGACTCAGGTTTCTTCTGTCGCATTTGCTCGTTGCTGCATGCCGATTTTCCTGACAAGAACTACCATGAAGATATGAACAAGTGGTGGCACGCTGATGGAATTTGCACCCCTAACTCATGGCGGGATGTGAACGGCTGAGTTTATATTACCACTAGAGAGTTAGTCGCAGTAGACTTTGTGTACGGTGGACTAGTCTGAAGACTCGCTTTGTATATATAACAACTGTATGATTGGCATGTCTTCTACAGTCTCAGTCTAATATCACTATCGTGGACTTCAGGATGAGACTGTATCACATAATGGCAAACTGACTGTTCAGCCTGTTCAGTACCACAAGATTACTGAACAACCAATCTCTCACACACACACATCTTTTAGGTTTAAATCTACAGGTTGTTCAAAAAAGGTGGGGAAATATTTTACCTAGTGATTCCTTGGGTCAAAATAAAGAGAAATTCAAGAATAACATTTTTTCCAAAATCGCTTTGTTAACCAGATATCCGCCATCTTGTATTTTTTACATAAACATTTTATCTTTTAATATTTTCAACCGATCTTTATGAAACTTTGTATGTGTATGTAAAATGAATGTTGTTTCATGGTATTTTTGAAAGCAGGCGAGCCCTATGTCATAAGAAAAGTTCATCTCGATTCAACTTAAAATTTCACAATGGCGGCCATTTAAAACTTTTAAACTCAAATTACTCGAAAATGACTGGTCTTATGAAAAAATGCCAAGAACACTTTTATTTAGCATTTTTAATTACCTATCAAACAACACCAAGTTTAACGAGATCGAATAAGAAATAGCTGATATATTACGATTTTTAGTCGTAAAATGGGGCAAACCTGACTAGCTTCTCCCTTATTCTACCCCATTTTACAACTATTTCTCATTAGATCTTTTTGAACTTGGTATCGTTTGATAGGGAATTTAAAATGCTAAATAACAGTGTTCTTGAAATTTTGTCATAAATTAGCCGTTTTTGAGTAATAAGTTAAAAAGAATAAAATGGCTGTCATTTTGAAAATTTAAGTTGAATTAAGATGATTTTTTTTTTTAACATTGGTCTTTTCTACCTTAACCTCCATACCAAGTTTCATAAGGATCGGTTGAAAAATTCAAAAATAAAAATGTTTATGTAAAAAATACAAAATGGCGGATATTTGGTTAACGAAGCTATTTTGGAAAAAATGTTATTCTTGATTTTCTCTTTATTTTGACCCAAGGAATTACTAGGTAAAATATGTCCCTACCTTTTTTTAACACCCTGTATAATAAGGGGTTAAGGGGACACTTGGGAACATAGTAAGTTTCTGTTGGTTGCATTTAGCCACCAAAAAATGGTAGGAAGCCAAATCTGTTTTTTTTTTATAGTTTCCTTAAGGGTAGATATTACCTTAAGTGACACAGAAAGACCTTGACCAGGGACCGATTTACTTTTTTCATTTTGATATCTCCAGAGGCCAAAAACACTATTTGTGTATTAATATACATACACCTTTCTTTGAGCCATTAGCGAATAGTGTTTTTGGCCTCTAGGGACATCAAAATGAAAAAGTTCATATATATGTGTCTGTGAATGGGATAACTCAAGTAATTTTGGTCAGATGAGTCAGCCAACCAACAAGATCAGGTCATAAAAACGGGGTATTTTGTGGTATTGAAAATGTTCAAAAATTGGTTTTTCAAATTTTTACCCTTTAAACATTAAAATGCCTGATTTTCAGTACAACCATTATTTAGAGCTTAGAAAACTGTTATAGTACAATTTAAAGGTTACAGGGAAAGTTCCCATACACTAACCATACATTTAAATTGTATATGTTTATCTTGTGAAGAAAAGTAAATATTGTCGTAGTTTGTTTGTTTTGTATATATGATGTTGACAAAATTTGGCAAATGTATTTATTTAATCCTACTCTACAGTATTATATTTGGTAAAAAAACTCTTTTTACTTTACCCATAGCAGCAAACCTCAATACTTTTTAAATCTAATTGTTATTTAAATGGGGATTAAATATGTTTTTTTTTATTGAAATATTAGAATAAAAATCCATTCAGACAAATTATTGAGTTTCGCATAAGGCCGGTATCCACAGTGCGAGGCTGCTCGCTGCGAATGCCTCGTGCCATCTGCCTCAGGGTGAGCTCTTTAGCTGGCAGCTAGTTTGTAAACACCAATGCTCACTGCAAGCACGCGAACCACCCGCTTTGCTTTCCATAACACTTGACTAAATCTCTGATCATGTCATGACTATCCATGATGACGCACAGCTTGGAGCGAGGCACCTTTCTTTGAGCACTGCTCTGAGACCGACAAGTACACGGCTCGCCTCACATTGTGCGACGCGAGCGCCTCGAAGCGAGCAACCCCAGGATCCACAGTCCGAGGCAAAGCCGAGCATTCGCAACGAAGCATTCGCAGCAAGCTGCCTCGCACTGTAGATGCCGGCCTGTAGCCTGCAGGTTTGCTGTGGTAAGGGTATTTAGTATAGAGGTACCTAAGAAAAAAATTCCGGGACCGATGCATTATTTTGAAAGTAGTATCAAGATAGAGATAAAAACTTAGAAAAAAGTTACTGGACATAAACATTATTTTAACACATTATTCAACAATATTCTAGCTCCTAACAGAAATATATTATTTCATTTCATTTCCTCAGGGGGACAGCCCGCTGGAGACAGAAGAAAATCTTAATTGAAAGCTTAAGTCAATATGCACATTAAATGATAGGTCTTTATTGGTACCTAGAATACTATGTCGCGGACCGGAATTCAAATTGACAATCGAGCTACAAATACCAACCATTTAAAGATCACTTGAATTTGCAATGGGAGACAGCCTGCTATGAATCAGAAGAAAATTCAAATAGTAGGTAGGCATAGATTGGTTGATATACACTTTAAATCATATAGGTCACTATGAGTAGAATACAATGACAAATACCTGAACTCAAACGGACAACCGTGTCAAAACTGGCTACAGTTAAAACAATGTGGTGTAACAATTGCAAATTCAATTAATCTTTCATCGGATGCCATTTTTGACTCAACTCAACTTGAGATGCATGAGTGAAAATTTAAAAACGTACGTTTTCAGGAAAAGCACTTTGCAAATTTTTTTCCCCTTTTTTCAAAACTTTTATTATTTTTTTAAATTTCATTAACATTTTAAGTTTCATAAAATGACCATGGTAACGCAATATCTTTGGTAGTTTTTTTTAAAAGAGCATCTTTAGTGGAAAAACACAAAATCCTGTCACGGCCATAACAGACATTTAAATGAATATTAAAAATAGTTAATATTATTTTTATAACTATATTTTGCTATAAACTAATTTACTTTTATGACCATTATACAGTAAAAAGGTCACTGAGCTTTTGGTATATTTGGTCTTTCTAGAAAAAAACTCAAAAAATTGAAAAAAAGCCAATAAAATCTTTTTAAGTTTGTATAATTAACTCCGAAAAAAACTTACCTGAGACCCGAAAAATCATTATGTTTGAATAGAGGTGTGCTTCTTTTGTGTATAAAACATTGAAATATGTGTGTTGTTATTCATATGTGTTTGAAAACATATGGTGTTAGAATATTATTTGTTTAGTTTTTGTTGATAAACATTCTGAATCTGGTTTATTGTAAAAAGCTACATAATAAAGTATTTGTCTTATTAAAACTATATTTTAATTTAACTTGCGATAACGCTACATGGTGGCAGCGGGCTTCTTATTGTTTTAGCAATATACAGTACATGAAGATGAAAAGTTTTAGGGCCTATGCTTCGAGAAGTTTGTCATCAGCCGAACGTAATTGGGCTCAAATAGAAAAAGAAGCTCTAGCGATTGCTTGGGGGTGTGAACGGTTTGAACACCTCATTTTAGGGTTGCATTTGCATATTGAGACAGACCATAAGCCCTTGCTCTCCATATTCAAGATAAAAGATTTGGACAATATTACTCCCAGGCTTCAGAGAATACGACTCCGACTGATGAGATATACGTATGACATTACCTACACGCCCGGTAAACAGTTGATTTTGGCTGATGCACTGTCTCGAGACACAGAGAACTCTGAAGAGGAATGGGAACTTACAGAGGAAATCCTTGCTTATATACAAAACATTGACACTACTCTACCATCAGTTTCGGATGAAAGGTTGCGAGAAATAAATCAAGAAACTATGAAAGATGAAACTCTAAAACATGTGTCACAGTATTGTGTGAAAGGTTGGCCAGAAAAATCTAAGATTCCAGAGGATGTATTGTCCTACTGGTATCATAGAGAAGATATAAGTGAGCAAAATGGTATACTTCTCTTTGGAAGTCGTATTATAATACCAAATTCTCTAAGAGCTAATGTACTAAGAAGTATTCATGAAGGACATCAAGGCATAACAAAATGTAGATCTTTTGCAAAATTGACTGTGTGGTGGCCTCGTCTTTCTCAACAAATCAAAGAACTAGTATAAAATTGCAAGACATGTGCAGAAAATCGCGCTACGAGAGCAGAGCCGCTGATACCAACCCCTTATCCGGATAGACCTTGGCAAATAGTGGGTGCCGATTTGCTGAAGTGCAAAGGTCACTGGTATCTCTTAATCTCAGACTATTATTCCAGGTTTATGGAGATTGCTAGACTAAATGACTTAAAAATGGGCACTATTGTGACATATACAAAGTCCATCTTCGCACGTCATGGTGTACCTGAGACAGTGAGAGCAGACTGTGGTTCTCAATTTGACTGCTGTCAATTCAAACAACTTGGTCGTGATTATGGATTTAAATTGATTACATCAAGCCCAAAATTTCCACAAAGCAACGGCTTCATAGAAGCGCAAGTAAAAAACTTTAAGTACCACTTAGAAAAAAGTGATGATCCATACAAAATGCTACTTATGTTAAGAGCAACCCCTCTGGAAAATGGGAAAAGTCCAGCGGAATTACTTTTCGGGAGAAGGATCCGCACTTATGTTCCGATAATGTCTGATCAACTAATACCCTATCTGGTAGACACTGAAAAGTTAAGGAAAAAGGAGGAAGCAAGAATTGATCGTCAAAAGATTTATTTTGACAAAAGACATAGAGCCACAGAATTGCCTACTCTACCTGATGGAGCTCAAGTCAATATAAAGGACAGGAATCAAGAAGGAACTATATTAAACAAACATCCTGCACCTCGATCCTATATAATTCAAACGCAAGATGGTTGTTTGCGGAGGAACAGAAGATCACTGCAAAGATTTAGCACTACTATGCCTTCTGATCAACCAGCACTGCAGACCAGTCCCTCAGAAAACCTGAGAAGATCAGAACCATCGCAGACAAATCCTTTAGCGAATCTAAGAAGATCAACAAGACAATTCAAACCTACCCGGAGATTCGATCTTTAAAGGGGAGATGTGTTGTTATTCATATGTGTTTGAA